GCGCCAGGCTGCCGCGGCCGCCGCGCTCGTATTTGGCGGGAACCGCGGCGACCCCCGCAGCCCTCGCGCTGATTGGGCGAGAACACATCACGTGACAACCTACCTCGGGAAGAGAGGAGTGCCGGGAGCATCCTCGCGAGAGCCGTGGCTTCCATTTCTCCCAAGGCTCCCCGATTGATAGTCCCGCGGGTGGGGAGAGGAGGGACTCCTTCTGGCCAGCCGTCATTGGCTGACGAGGGAACCTCTGCGATTGGGTATAGAAGATGTCAAGCGGAGATATAAGCATTGCGATTGGTTGTACTCGTGGGAGGAGGGCGGGGTATTTACGTCACTAGCGGGGTTATTGACAACCGGAAACAGGTTTAGCTGAGGACTGAAGTTTTGAGTTTATCTTCAATTGGGTATTAGTTGAAATATAACGATTGCAATTAAAATTACAAGTGACTTTCTTTTGTTGTTGCTGTTTTTTGGTACCGGCGATCGAAATCGGGTCCTTGCTCTTGCGAGGCAGGAGGCGGAACCACTGAGCTAAATCCCCGGCCCACAAGTTACTTTTTTTTTTTCTCATTGAGTTTATTGGTACACTTTAGGTATACAGTACAATTACATTCATCGTTGAGATCTTGTACCTTTACATGACAGGTCTTGGGTCTCATTTTTTCCCCTTAGCCCTGCCCTCCCTTCATCCCCTCCTGCCTTCCCTTTTTACGAATACTTTATTTCCATTTTTTCATTTTCTCATGTATTTTTTCTTTTCCCTTATTACCTTTCCCCTACCCTTCCCACTTCCCCTACATCTTTAGCCCTTTTCTTCCTATTTCACATTGTCAATTACATCATTAGTATCTTATGTACCATTATAGTTTTTCACACTAGAGAAACTATTCGGTATTTATACACATGTGACTTATTTATCTCATTTAGGAGTATATCCTCAATATGGATCCATTTTCCACAAGTTACTTACTATAATAATAATAAAATACTGTCTTGGTGGAGCTCCAGAAGCATTTGGAATGCAGTAAATATATTTAGAGGGAACGAATGAAAGAAAGTTTTTGCTTTAATGCTCAGGAATTTTGCACATGACTGTTTCTTCTGCAAGCAGCTTTTCCTGCCTGATTTCTAAAACTTTAAGATGTTTTTTAAAGAACCTTTTTTTTCCACCTGCAATATGATCAAGTGCTTGCAGCGCTTTTTGTCCTGAAAACAGCTGTGTTTATTAGTGTTATTTGACGTTTTATTAATTAACTAATAATTCATTTTGTGGTACTTAAAAGTGAACCCACAGGCGTTTTCCCATGGAACTACATCCTAAGCCTTTTTATTTTGAGACAAGATCTTAATAAGTGGCTTAGATTGAACTCATCAATATTTGTCTGTGACTGATACATATTAGGCACTCATTGAAGGGAATGCATGAATATCAGTTGACTGAACTGTGTAGATCGTGTAAGTTAAAAGCTTCACTCAGAAATAAGCGTGTACCTCAGTGGGGAAATACTTGTCTACCCCGTGCCAAGGCCTGGGTTCCATTTCCAGTAGCAGGAAAAAAAAAAAGACTCATACAGAAGAACAAAGATCTTCAGTGTCAGATTGTGAATTTAAAAATAGATTTATTGGCAGGGCATGATGGCACACATCTGTGATCCTGGCACTCTTGGAAGGCTGAGGCAGGAGGATCGCCGTGAGTTTGAGGCCAGCCCGAACTGCAAAGGGAGGCCTTGTCTCAATAAAGAAAGAAAGAAATAGGGTGTTTGTTCCTCCCCCCATTACTGGGGACTGAACTCAGGACTTACACTTGCGAGGCAGGTGCAGTGCCACGGAGCTAAATTCCCACCCCAAAATACAGGTTTTCTTCAGCACCAATGTAACTTCTCCTCAGAGAGAGAAGGTGGAGAAAAAATACTTTAGAATACGTTTTTAGGTAGATTGAATAATCAGTAAAATTGATTAAGAAATAGAAAATTCAGAAACAAAATTATGGGCAAATGAGGCCATTACTCAAGGGCTCAGTTCCCCGGTCTATATGAGGGTGTTTTCCTTCTCTCATATACTAGCGTTCTGTAAACACAGTTGAGCATATCAGAATCACATGTGGAGCCTTTCGAACTATTCACAATGGCTTCATCAGTATCTGGGGGTGTATGTATTTTTTTCATTGAGTTTATTGGTGCTTTTTAGGTATACAGTACAGTTTCATCCATCATTGGGATCTTGTACCTTTACATGATGTATCTTGGTTGGTGTACGCATTTTTAGCAACCCTTTGATGTAGTCCATTTCCTTCTGTTGAGGCACTTGGAATTTTCTAGCAATCTTCTGCTACAGAACAATCACCCAAACCTGTCAGTAGTTTCAACACTGGAGTTCTCAGCACCTTCCTTGTAATCATTTTCTTGTTCCTCTTTTTGGATGCATTTACTCATCCCACCCCATTACTCATTCCATACCTTGCTTTTGTTTTTCAAACAGAGTCTTACTATATAGTTCAGGTTAGCCTTAAACTCACCTTTTACCCCAGGCTGGCCTCAAACTCACAGCGATCCTCCTGCCTCAGCCTCCTGAGTGCTGGGATTACAGGCATGTACCACCACACCTATCCATTCAATACAATCAATAGTTTTTGTTTTTGGTACTTGGGATCAAACTCGGGACCTTGAACTTTCTAAGCAGACAGCGGAACCAGTGAGCTGAATCTCCGGCCCCAATAACAGGTAATACAAAAGTCCATATCAATAAACATGTGGTGGTGCATGCCTGTCATCCCAGCACTCGGGAGGCTGAGGCAGGAGGATCGCTGTGAGTTCGAGACCAGCCTGGACTACACAGTGATTTCCAGGTCAGCCTCAACTGCATAGTGAGACCCTGTCTCCAAAAAAAAAAAAGCATTAATTTAGAGAGACTTCCTGAGGGGGTGACATTCAAGTAGGCTCCTTTCTATGTACAAAGGATGGGAGGCAAGATTGGAGAGAAAAATGCGAGAGAACAGAGTGTAAGCAAAGTCCCATGGGCAAGAGGGCATACAACAGATAAAGAGAGCAGAGATCAAGAGCTGATGGAGTTAAACTAGTCAGATTTGGGAAGCTTGGAATATATTGGACCGTCGTGATCTGAATTGTGTTCTAAAAGTCTTTTCGGACCGGGGTTTAGTTCAGTGGTGCCGCGGCCTGCCTGGCCAGGGCAAGGTCCTGAGTTCGATCCCTAGTATCAAAAAAAAAAAGTCTTTTCAACTGCCTCATAGGAGATGAATTGGAAGGGAGAAGAATTAGAAGATAGAATACCAGAATGAAGGTTGGTGGAATAGTATAATCAAGGCGACACCCAGGTGTGTGATGTGGGCAACTGAATGGATGGACAACGGGACAGCGTGGGGAGAAGAAATGGGTCTCGTTGAGATGAGCAAATAGGTGTCTGGAGAATCGTAAATCTGAGCTCCATCCCCTCCATTGCTTTTCCAAGTGGAGCTTGGCTCTGTTCCTGAAACTTTAGGTTCACCTCCGGTTCTGCAGGAGACGCTACAGCCTCTATGGCCTCTCTAGGTCTCCCCAGTCTACCGATGACGAAGTGCGCGTGCGCCCCCAGGCCGAGAGGGGGCGCGCGTGCACAG